AGAAACATTTCATGATACGAATGACAAATTTCTGAGATCTCTTTGACACAACAGACGCAGCATGAGACAGCCTCAGCAATATCAGGCACGCTCGTCTCCCCCTTTGAACAGGCAGCGTTACAACTTTTCTACCAAAAACCTCACTTTGATAGTGCTTAGATCATGCAACTGATTGGTTTTTTCTCAATAATTTGCTTGTCATCCTGTGGGCTAACCACACTTGCCAACCACTCCATGTCCAAAAATCCTCAAAATCTGCCAAAAACTCGGGAGTTTGGGGAAAAAAATGGCAGTCTTCAAAACCCCAGTGTATTTAGATCATGCAACAAACTGATAGTGGAAAATAAAAAAATGCTACCAAAAAAAATTAATTAATTAATAAAATAATAAATGTGAGGCGACATAGTGGAATCAAGTGTTCATAGATATTTGAGCATAACGGAGTTATTGCAAAACCAAAAACATAAAATTTGATTAAAGTTACCCACTGGGCAGAAATGTTTCAGAATTTTGATAAGTGCCTGAATTTTTACCACAACGCCATACGTATATTTTCAAGACATATATGATAAGTTGCGCAAAAATTTGCAAACGTAACGTTCATGTTATTTACTAAAAGAAATTGGATTTTATGCAAAAACTCCATCAGGGTACTTTGAAGGACAAAGGACAATTGGAGAGCTCCGGTTTTTATTAACGGAGCACTTGGCACGTTGGAAAAACCCACAAACTTTTTAAATCCGTTCAGTGGCTGACATTATGTTCCTGGGAAAGGCACTTTACACAAAACTTCCTCCTTTCACGTGTGAGAAAATGGGTACCCAGTTATAGACAGTGAAAGATCATGTCAGATCGATAGTGTTTGAGCCCGTGGAATCCACAGCTTGCACTGTATGCTTCCCGGGAAGCCGAGAATGTTTTTGAGACAAGTTCTAGAGTCAGCTGGGGTAATAACGTTTGAAAAGTGCACAGAGCACACTGTAGAGCGTAAACATGAACTAGATAAATCGAGGGCTATGGTAAGTCATGCTTTTCAAATTTTACAGGAGAGACCCCCCCCCCAAAAAAAAACTAACCCTTCCAGCCCCAAGCGCGTATATTTTCAGCAGCGCTTGTTGTACCTCCCTCCGTCCCAAGAGCGTATATTCTCAGTTTCGGGGGGGGGGGGTACCGAATTCGCGCATTTTTCGAAATTAGTGAACTTGATTAAACTTTAATTTTCTTATTACTTGTTTATGTATCTTTAAAAATTGGAATATGTTATTATCAAAGCTACATTACAAAGATACTACATCACTTTTTAGAAATGTCTCTTTTTCTGAACTACTGCTGTATTGGCTGGGACTGGGGTTAGGGAGTGCACAAAAATGGCTGGGGCTGGAAGGGTTAAAAGTGTTTTGGAAGAATAAACTTCATGTTCATAAGGACGCCTACAAATGCCAAGACAGACATTAAGCTCTCTTATGAAAATGAAGTTCCTCCACCCAAAACGTTTTTTAAAAAATCAGTTGTTTTTTTGTCTCTCCTGTAAAATTGGAAAAGCATGACTTACCATAGTTTACTTGGCGGCCCTCGAAATGCAATCATTATTGTCATGTAATTGTAATATATATATAATAAATACAAGAATAGCATATGTCTTACGGTTGTCTTCATATATTTGCCCCCCCCCCCCCACCATTTCACACGAGATTCAAACTCTAGCTTCACAACTGAATGAGGCACAGAATTTTATGATTTACACATTGTGCATGCTGTAACGGCGATGCTGTGAACATACAAGAGACACAAGCCTTCTAGTTTAGTTTTCCTAAACTTTTTTGTTTTGTTTTAGAAGAGGTTTTATGGCGCTTGCAACTGCACAAGGTCATATGAGCGCCAAGGGGTGGATGTCAACAGAGAAGTCCCTACAGGGAATCAGACTTACTTTGCTCACCTCTCTAGCTTCAACAGTACAAAGTCTGCTTCGACTATCAAGGCACCCTGGAAATAGCAGGCCACAAGAGTGAGACAAATATACAAAAGAAGTAGAGGAAAATGACGATAGTAAGGATGGGGAAAGAAAAAGCAGCAGTTCCCTGTTGCAGTTCAGGCACAGATTAGAGCATGCCATTGATGAATCAGCCCATTTACAATAACAATTCTACTGTGCATAAGAACTACAGATGTTAATGCGCCCCCCCCCCCCCCTCGGGAATGGCCTAAAGACACTTCATTCAGTAGCACCACACCGGGGGGGTATTCGTAAGCTTTACTGCACTTACAACACAAAAAGGTCATACAACCAGCTTTCAGCGACCTCTGGTGAACAATGCTGTAACGAACTGAGCGACAACGAGAGTCACGTGACAACAGCACTTAACGTCCACAACAACAAGAAATAAATCAACATTTCAATACAACGAAGTTTACCTTTGAACGTTCTACAGAAGTTTTTTTTTAACAAGACGATAATTTTCTCCAACATATCTTGATTCATTATATTAAAGTCTATCTCATTAAAACTGCCAAAAATTCTGTAAAGTGCTCAGAGCCTGTGTACTTTAATCGGGGTTGAGCGCTATATAAATGTCATTTACTATTTATTGTTATTATTACAAATTACTGGCAACATAATACATGAACATTATTGGTAACATACTACACAAACATGTTTTCAAAATATGCACACATGTAGCCTACATGACAGACTGTGGAGAAAACCCCCCCTTCCTCCACTCTGTCCAAATCTTTTCCTTCTGTCGAGATATGATGAATCAAAAACATATTCACCGATTCATCAATCCCAGAATATTGTCACGGTCAAGGAGCCACTCTTTCTACACACAAGCAGCCGGTCGTAAAGAGCTCAGGTCCAAACGTGACGGCAAAGCTCACAAGACAAAAAAATGTTTACGAAAGACAAGAAACGTGAACAAAAGACAAGAAACGTGAACAAAAGACAAAACTATACAGTGGGATCTGCCCCAACAACCATCTGCATCTACGGACATTTCCCATTTCTGCCCCTTTCTTGTTTTTACATTATACTGTCCCCGTCGTTTTATGCTAGAAAAATTCTGAAACTACGCAAACTGAGCCCAAAAATGTGAAATTATGTGATTCTATTAATTTCAACAAAGAATTATAAAGGAAAATAATCAGAAATTACGCAAATAATGATCAAATTTCACTAAATTAAGCGGGCTGCATAAAACCACGGGGACAGATTATACTGACACTGTGGTCCGGTTAGAAAGTCAATGAGAAAAAGAAATAAGGCGACAAGCAAACAAACGTTTACCCTGAGAGACCATGAAGGAGAAAAAAATCATCAACCACAAAAGGCCAAATCACGCTGTGTCATGGAAGTATCGTTCAACCTTTCCCCCTGTTGCAACGACAAACATTTCCTCGAAACTGCTAGATCTGGACCTGGAAACCAATGCTAGATCTAGACCTGCCAACCGATCTAGACCTGCCAACCGATCCAGCTACATGCCAACCACTCCGGGACCAAAAAAAGTTTTCTCAGAATCCTCCTTAAAAGTAAAGAATTTGGGGAGAAAAAATGAGAGTCTCCAGAACCCCAGCAGATTAAAATAACGTTACGTACAAAAAGTAACAATTCCACGTACATAGCAATTAAACGCACATAAACATTAATAAAAACGTGGATTTTCGTGTCGTATACAAATCACACAAATACTGAAAATAATCCAATGTATTTCCACATTATTTACCATAAGTTGCTTACGACTGAGAAAAAAATTGGATTTTACGCATATATCTGACGTTGGTTCTTCAAAAGGAAAAAAAATCTGGAGGGCTCTGGTTTAACCGGAGTGGTCAGTAGGTCAGTGGGGGCTCATCTGTGGGCAGAAGATATTCGGAGACGTCTCCGGCGAGCACCCAGGAGCTATTCGGAGACGTAATCCCGCACACAGATGTACTGCTTTGTGGGTCAAATTGCGTATTGTTTGCTGCAGATCACACATATAATATATAGCCACTACAACTGTCGCAAATCAATCATTATCAAGAAAATTTCAAACCTTACTGCAAAATATCAAACTATGGGTTAAAACAGGGGGGCATGCCCAGATTTTTGTTTTATACTTGGTCCAGAGGAACAAAGCATTTTGATTGGTCTATCTCCGTCGGAGACGTCTCCGGATAGATACTGTGTCTGTGACCCATCGTGTCAGTGGTGTCCTGCGTGACAAAAATGTCTCGGGGTACTACTCAGCCAGTTATAGGAGAAAACCTAGTGACAGTCTCAGACTGGGGTTTTTCTACGAGACATGTACGGATTTCCTCTGGCAATCTGGTCACGTATTTTTTTAACGTGATGACTTATAATTGTACATTTTGCCACCATGCACCCTGTCCAGGTTTTGGCAAGAAGTTCCTGTACGTTATACATATATATATATATATACGTATGAGGTGTATAATATACAATATGTGTCACAACGCAGTGGAATCAGGCGGTCGTCAATTTTTGGGCATGTGGGGTTATTGGCATCAACTGAAAGCTTGAACATTTGCCTTGCTTTCGATGAAAAAAACACCCATTTATCTTGAATACGAGTCAAGATATTTGCGATTGAAGGAGGTAGGGGTCGCTTGGTTTCAGAGGTAAAATTAGCAAGAAAATGGCCGCCAAAATTTGGTTATTTATATAGTCTGAGAGTCCGTGGAAACTGACAATTTACATTTTTTTTGCCTTTAAATCAACATTTTTCAGTAAAACCCACACAGAAAAGAGTTCTTAAATGGATTTTTTTAAAAGGTGTTGAGCCCCCCAAAAAATTTTCTATAAAAATTGCCAAACCAGCGAGAAAATGCCAATTTCTTCATTTTCATTAGTTTGACAAGCGCCTGATTTCACCACGATCTCTCACATATGATGTCATCAGCTGGGGCCCCTTGATGCAAGGAGAGTAAAACTCGACAACATACAAAGAAAAAGAAGGCAAAAATACACCTAAATACCACATAAGCTAAGACGCAAAAAGTTTGGGACATTCAACATTTCTCGAGTTTTGGATTTTTATAGAAATGCGACGCTGAATAATAACAAAAGAAATTTCTTTAAAAATCTGTAAACTGGCCAACGAGGATGTTAGAAAGTTGTTGGTGCGACTGCGTTGATGTCCTTGGTAGATATGTTCATCTTATCTCCTTCTGTGGCTCTCGTCAGCCAAGCTCCGAACTGGCGTGTCTTTGAGAAGAAGCTGAACCCCGCGCTCGCAGAAGTGTCTGCGACGGGGGTAGAGGAGCTCTGAGACACCCCGGCCATCGTTGTTGTTTTTGACACCGAGGCGATACCCGAACCCTTTCCATCTGGACAATCCACTTTTGCAGTGCTAGCTGCGGTCTCCCCTCTGGACATTTTTCTCTGTGCCGACTCACAACAGAGATGAGCAGCACACTTTACTTTGAGCGCTGAACTGCTCTCAAAAACGGAACAATGAAATGAAACCCTAACTTTGCCCCTAAACTTCACTCTTTTTCTCTTCACAATGTCAAAACTACTTCCAATGATATCAAATTTTATGTTACGTTTCTATTAAGAGATCAAACTGAGCAACATGAGTGGTCATTAAACAGTAGACTGCTTATTGACGGAATTTTGTAGTAAATTTCATGAACAAGAAGCTTCAAGCACTTATGTTGTTACAAACTACTGGTTTCCTTCAGATCCGACGTATTAAACTGTTCCATCACTGTTATCTGTATTGCTAATTCAGTGACTACAAAATATCTGGACAAAGTCAACAATTCTACATTGAATGGCGATGAAGCGTTTGTCATCCTCCTGATTTGATATGCTCATAGAGCACTTCTAGCATCTTGCGTCTTTTCTGTGCCCTGGACATGTGCACAGATCACAACCTGTAAAATAATTTTTAGTTTTAGTAAGAGTTTTACGGCACTTGCATCACAATAAGGCCACATATATAAGTGCAGAAGATTAGGTGTTACAAGAGAGTAGCAATCACAAAAAAGAAAAGTGGAGTTGTTGCCCTGTATACTGACAAAAAACTAAAACTCCATCTTGTGAAGGACAGGCACTATAGCTGAACACAAGCTTTCTAATCCCAATTTATTTAGTTTTAGTAAACATTTTATGGTACTTGCAACACAAATAGGTAATTTAAATGCCGAGGATTAGAGGTATTACTGAAGAGTAACATACAAAGAAAAGGAGGAGAGATAAGGATGATTTAGATTTTGGCAGGAAAGAAAGAGCAAACCACACTAGAGCACCTGCCAACCAACCAAAATCTAATTTAACTAGGCTGAAAGGAGATAAAGTTCCAAATGTTGATGTGATAAATGTTCATGCACTATTTCTGTAGGCCTGCAGGGCATCAATTGGAAATACATACCCAGATACTGAGTGTGGTCTGTGTCTTTGACTTTGGAGGGGAAGAACCAAGAGTCCTCTCTCACGGGGATAAAGAGAGCGCTTGTGAAGGGCAGCTCCTGCTCTGTTGGTGAAACACAGGACAATAGCAAGGTTAGTTTTAGTTTGAGTAAGAGTTCTACGGCACTTGCAACACAATAATAACATCATATGTAAGTGCCGAAGATTAAAGGTGTTACAAGAGAGTAAGAAACACAAAAAAAGGAGGAGAGATTTACAAGGATAATAGACATTTGATAGGAAAGAAGAAGCAAACCACACCAGAGCACCCGCCAACCACCCACCAATGAGGTTAAAACGACCAGAGGACCAAACTTTCTAAATCTACACTGTTTACAGTAGGAGAATGCTGCTGAATGCAGACCTGCCTACCACTCTATGACCAAAACTAGGGAGTAACTCAAGTTGTCAGCTAGCACACTGACAGATATTACCTGCTCTCTCTATCAACACTACTTTCTATTTGTACGCACAAGACATCACTGGCACAAGACATCACTGGCACAAGACATCACTGGCTGCATTCTACACCCAATAATAGCCTATAATCATACAAATTATGGTCGCTTTAAAGGACAAGCGGGCTAACCCAGATTTCGGGGGGGTTCTAGAAATCTTGACCTAAGCTAAACGTGGGCATTGCTCCACCTATAGAAGTTTGGTTTCATTGGTGTATTGTTCGGTTATAAGGAAAACTCTCTTTGTATTTTAAAGAAACTGAACAAGGGGCAAAAAAATTAACCTTCGATTTTCTCAAAACAGTTATCGGGATAACCCCCATGTGCTTGAAAGCGACCAAATGTCCCCATCAGTGTAGTTGAAGACCTTTTTTTTTTTTATCTCTATACAGATAAGACCTCAACATCGGTCTTCACCTTATGTCAGTTAGACTAAGGCATCACCAGAAGAGCCTTTTCATCATTTTTATAATTAGGCTTAAAAGCAGGAAATTTCACAAGACAAACAGTGTTTAGAAGCATCAAAAAGGAAAAGAAAACAGTAGCAGTATCATCTAGTGCATACGGTTTATAAATATAATAAATGTCACCATTGGAAGTAATTCATGACACAGTTAGAGTGAGTACAAGTTACAATCAAAATATTAAACGAAGTGACTATTTCTCCAAACGTTCGGGAAAATAAAGTTGAACTCTATTTCTCCAAACGGATTCCGATCTCGAGATTTTTTGGGTTATTTGCGAGATTTAAGCGTCATCCTTTCATTGTGCCATTGTGTGAGGACTGGAAAGAAGCATTTTTTGCAATCAAATTCAATTTCTAGAGCTAGAGATTTTTAAATGTCTGAATATTCAGATACTTCAGTTGTGGTTGGGACAACGTTCCCAGGATTATACTTCATTTGAAAATACCTTCTAAAAAGGTACTGCGAGAAAACAAATACAGCTCGACCTTGGCAGTAACCTATTTTGCATTTAGTCACCCAGAAAAAACTAAAATCCTTCAGGTAAAAAGAAAAATCCCTCCACGCCCCCCCCCCCACCGGTTCACACCTTACACACACACACACATGTCGTACACTCACACACACACATGTACACCCTATCTCTCTCTCTCTCTCTCTCTCTCTCTCACACACACACACACACACACACACACACACACACACAAACGGGCCACTCCATTCGCTTACTTATCAACAAATCTCGAGAGCGGAAATCGTTCGGAGAAATAGAGTTCAAGTTTATTTTCCCGAACGTTCGGAGAAATAGAGCCGGCATTAAATTCAAACCAGTAAACTTTGTTTGGTAGCATCTAAAACTGAATAAAGTGAGATCATATAAAATAGTATAATAATATTTTATAATCACATCTACGTATAAAAGGTTTTAAAAGTCAACAATGGAAAAAGTATACAAAATTATTATTTCGTTATCAAGTCAGTCCCATATATGCCTTATATTGAAATGTCAATAGCCAGTCAATAAATCCACATATATTATAGAATAGGCCCTGTTCTTTCTTTCAGTTTTATGCTGGTCGCAGTTACACGAAGACTTGTAATAACATCAAGACGTTAGATATATAGCCCACGATAGGGAAAGGTGGAAAGTGTTGGTGCGTGGCCTATCCTATAGGGGGAAGATTGAAGAATACCGGACCGCTCGTACATTATTGCGCGAGAGAGTGGGGTAGGTGGTTGGGGTGGAGGAGGGGGGAGGTGGGGTTCAGGGGGTCTCCCCCCTGACAAAATTTTAATGAATAGATCTACCGGTCCGAGATTCTCCATTGAGAGATATTAAAAACGGGAAAGTTATGAATTCCTAAGGTTGAGACATAGGCAAAGTCAGTCCGCTGGTCCGGTATTCTTCAATCTTACCCCTATAGGCCTACCTTAACCCAGGGGGGAAGGGCAATGATGATGATGACAGTCACATGGTTTTTCAACAATAAAAATAATAGCAGCCTACAAAGAATACACTCGCAGTAAGTAGGCATTAGACTCATTAGTAAGTTAGATCTAGATCTAGATCACAAGACCTCTGTCTCTAGAAGAATCTGTGAAAGTAATCCCAGACTGGACCAGTAACAGGACCAGAACTCTACACCAAAACAAATAACAAAAGAATAGTTCAAAATAGAAAATATAGATTTAGATCTAATCTAGATCTATATCTAGATCTAGAGTCTAGATCTAATAGGAATATTGGACATTAAAGGCTTTTAGTTAAACAATGAAACAGACTGCTGCAGCAGAGGTAGACTGCACTGACCACTCCTTCGAAAACAGCCCGACCCCTCAATGTCCAGTCGACCCAACAGGCCCGTGGAGGCCGCGTGATGTATCAAATCAAACTCAAACAGTGTTCTGCCATATAATCAAACTATTATCAAACAAACATCAGTTATAATGTTATAATGACTTGCCTGCTCCTGTTACGGTTCACTGCCTCCTGACAATAACCAAAGACGAGAAAAATGAGTGAGGTCAGAAGTGAAGAATGACGGAGAAGCAGAAACTGTGTTGGTGAAAAGGAAAAATAATGTGACCCGGAAGTAGTGAGTCGCCAGTCCAGTGACCTGAGATTGCCTGGACGGACAATGAAAGTAAAAAAAACACCAATCTAGATGTACTTGTCAAAGGGAGAAAACCTTAGAACATAGAGGTAAAACCGGAAATAATTGTTGGTTGGCAGTAAAGAATTATTATACACATTATGTACATTGTACATGTAACTGTAATTTATATAAGATATTATATTGTACTATTGTATGCATTAAGGTTGTTACTGTTCAAGACGTGTTTAGAAACATTCTTTGACCAAAATAACTGTTAAGTCCCCCAAAAATGTCTTTGTTGCATATTTTTTTACGTGAAGAAGAATAAGCTTTGCTGAAAACCTAAATCAACATGAGTCTAAAGCTTGGAGTAATTATATATTGATAGTTACTCCAAGGTCTACAGTCTACACACATGTTTTATATTCCAAAACAAGTCAGAAGTGTGGCAACGCTTTCACTGATATAATAATAGTAACAAACATTTTTTCTCAACTAAGGCAAAATTATGATTTTAGTTAAGCCAGGTGACTAGTAGTGTAAATCTATGAGTTACGCCCCC